AAGGGCAATTGAAAGAGGAAACTAAGACAAATAAAGAAAAATCAATTAAGAATGTTAATCCTAATACAACTGCTACGAACCTAGACACATACAATAACCCTTTGGCAAAGCCGTTACTCTTAGTGCATAATGATCTGCTAACCCTAGGGGCATATTTGGTGCATAGTATAGGATAAGGCCTGATAGAATAAGACCTGATAGTATAAGACATGATTGTACAAGACCTTATTAAATTTTAATACTATCCATCTTTTGGTATAATATTGCATAAGATAATATCCATCAATATTTTAAAAATTACTATATTAAGAAAATTATTTTAATATATTAATATTGAAATGATATATTAATTCTTGAGAGTTCTACTTGTAAGCAATATTAATACATCAACCCCTTATCAGGCCTAATCCCACCCCTTTAGGCCTGATTAAGTTATACATCATTTTGATGTATTAAGGGGTTCTGTTGTATAAGCTTATACTATCAAGCCTTGTACATCACACTAAACAGGCCCTAAGAGTATTTCTTTCATAGATACATGAGAAAGCCTCTATATCCAAGATTGACATATCAGTCTCTCTTACTAGACATATCTGACTCTAGGACCGACCAAATATATATTAAATTTTAAATACATATAATAGTTCAATAAAATAATAGTTTAATAAAATTTAAAATACTTAGTAAAGTCTACTCGAAAGATAATGCATTTAAAATTTTACCATAGCTAAAAATTAAGTGAGCAAACTGCAATGAGAAAAATATTATGCTTGACTCTTGTTAATCAATATTTGTAAAAAGGATAAAACAAAGTGACGATTAAAAAATAGATGGTGAGTACTTGATTACTTCTGTCTTGAGTTTGGATAAATAAAAATTTAGTTTTCAAATATTAAAGAAAAAAGACTTATTAAGTATATATGTTCAAGTGTATTTTTTTTAGTTCAATTAAGATTCTAAGATTTTAACCTTACTAGCTAATATTTTAGTTGTTTCATAAATAAGTTTGTTAATCTATTTAATAAAATAATTAATGAACACCATTTTTCACCGTTCTAACAACTTGCACAGTCAAAAATTGAATACTGTCTAACAATTATATAATCTACGTAAATATAAGAATTCATGACATTGTTAATTATAAATTATCTATTTATACTTTATAATAAAATGTTCTTGGGATGTATTTAATAATATTTTAAAATTCATAATACATTTTTTTGAAAAAAAAATAGAATAGTAAAATTGAAAAGGCAAAGGTCTGAGTTGGGGGAGAAAATAGTATACGTCAATTTCCAAAAGACAAAAATAGAACAGTATCCGATAATAAAATTGTCTCGATATGCAGTTCATAATATTATTAAATGCGTATTTTTGTTAAAAATCACAATGGAATATTGAAATTAAAAAAGACAAAATACGAATGTTGATAAGAAATATTTTTATTCATTTATAGAACAATATCGTGAACGTTCTATTTTTTATAGTATATTTTGAATACTCTATTGTAACCGACATTGTTGTTAAAATCTCGATTTATCACTACGATTTTACTAATATTCCAAACGCTTTTACAATTTTACGATTTTTTACGATTTTTTTACATTATGATTTTACGTTTTGCGATTTTTTAATCCCCATCCGATTTTACTTAAGATCTCGATTTTAACAACGTTGGTAACCGAGTCTATTTTCACATATTTAAAAACGATTCGTATTTTCTACCGCCAATGTAGATAAGTTATTTATACTGAACCCAAGACGACGTCGTTTTGGGACAAAAATCAAGGTATTTTTGTAATTATAATTTATTTCAGGGTTATAATAATTTTTCTAATTATAAATTTTAATTTTTCGATTCAAAATGACGTCGTTTTGAAAATGAATGTAGATAAATTATCTATATTTACTGTACAAAGATTAAAGTCATTTAAAAAAGTAATTAAAAAAAATGTTTACAAAGTCGATATCTCCATAACCAAATCTGACTGTTATCAATCAATTTCAGTTTACTCAAAATCCTTCCATGACCCATATTCTTAGTCAACCTAGTTTTCTATTATGTCTATCAAACTGTAATCACAATTTGAAGGGAAAGATTGGCAGAAATATCGGTTTTGCTGGCTCTGGTTTATATGCCTACTATAAGCTCGTTGGTAAATAACTTTCTCAAGTCCTCTATATGAAGTGTTTTGCAATTAGGGAAAGCCATTTGCTTCAATCAACTGGTCATCACTGCATCCCTTAAAAAGGAAGAAGAATCTGAATCAAACTCGGATCTATGGAACTTGTGACTGATCTATATATTTAGGAAGTTTTGCTGAGTGACAAGTTGACATACAAACATTTTCTGGATAATCAGACTAGACCTGTTGTCATGGCTCTAGTGTATTCAAACCTTTGTTGATTTAGTAGTTTGTTCATCCATTGCATTTGATGAATCTTGTGCAGCCCTCTCGTTGTAACTATTAACAAGCATGTAATTTTATAGCAAATCCATAGTGGAGAGAGAAATTTTTGGAGATTAAATTTGCTTATGGTTCTTTAATAACTTTTGTATCATATGATTATTAAAGAATACTGAAACGTAAGATACATATGGTTTTATCTTACGAAATTTTTAATATACAAAATTTTTAATCTTTAAATTTTGTATATTAAAATTTAATAAAACCATATGTATCTTACGTAAGATACATATGGTTTTATTAAATTTTTAAAAATTTAATCTTTAAATTTTTAATAACCACATACAAAACATTAAGATAACAATACTGCATGAATAGTTATCAATTTTTAATAACTTTTAATTTTTAATTTCATTTATACATCTCTTTGATTTTTTTTTATCTTTGAAAACCAAGTTCTATTTAGATATGTATTCAAATATTTGGAATGAATTTTTTTTATCCATTTGAATCTACCTGGTTTTTTAAAAGAAATGTAAAATTTTAAATGATTTTTTTTTTTAAATTTTCAACAAATTTGTAGGAGTCTTAAACCTCCAGAAACTGAAACATTTGTGGGGGGTCTGAAGCCTCCAAAAAATATTTTAACAAATTGTGGCATTGCACATAAAACTTCCACAAAATATGTTGTGGCGTAGGTAAAACTGGGGGTCATTGAGGATGCCACAAATGTACTTTGTGAAGATCAAAGACCCTCACAATATGAAAATATAACCTCCACAAAATGCCTGAATTTTTGTAGTGGTAGTTTAGAATAATAGTTTAATACTACAAGAAAAAATATTATTAGTGTCGTAAATTTCGTCACTACATATGAAATTTCGTCACAAATTCCTGAGTCGCAAATTTATTTGTGACGAAATTTGATTATTTGTGTCAAAAATTGTCATTTGTGACAAAATTTGTGACGAAATTTTTTGTCACAAATAAACTTTTTTCTTGTAGTTAGTCTGACATCATGTATATCTCTTTGTACTTTCTTTCTTTTCAGTTATATAATAGACTCCCCGCTGTGTAGTCAAAACACACGGATTACTCACAAACCTCTTGGGTCCTGAAATTTAACAAAACCCAAAGACTCTTGTGTTAGAGATATAACATATAAAACCCAATTTCGCTATCGAGTTTCTTAAAATTTGAAACTCTATTGTAATGATATCATCTCCGTAACTCTGGACTCCTCGTCTCTCTCGACAAACCCTATACTCATTATTATGCATACTGTCCCGTGGCAATTTTCAAACCAATCGTAACTCAATATTGTATTTTTTATTTGTTTCGGCCACCTCTACTTCTGTTAACCTACTTCATATATTCTTATAACCAATCTTCATTGTTATATTTCAAGTTTGCTACTCTTCGGCAATGGACTTTTCAAGTTGCTTTCATTGAGCTGCTGCTTTCAATTATAGTCATTGTTGTCTTTAGTTGCAGCGGCACCCTCCATCTTCACTTTTGGTGCGCTTGAAGACACATTAGTCATTGTCTTTAAAGAATTCTTGTTGTTGCCTATCGCCATTGTTACTCTCTTAAGATCATGTTTATTTATTTTATACCTCTTTTTTAAGTTAAAAGTTAAGTTAAAGTTAAAAAAAAGTACCTAATATAACTTAACAAAAAGCTCTTCCTAAATTTTTTTAACTTATACCTTTTTTCTTCGTTATAAAAAAAAGCCACCTCACTCCGATGGATATTATGGATAACATTAGTCACAAATATTATTTATAAATAAATATTATATACTAATTTAAATTTTATTTAATTTACTTCTTATAATTTTATATTAATTTATTACAAAATATATAGTTAACATTATATATAGAGTAAATATATTTTTTTGGTTCTCAGCAAATTTTACGATACTCGCTTTAGTCCCTAGCAAATAAAAAAGCTCATCGTGGTTCCTAAGAAATTCAAAATAGATCCATTTTAGTTCTTTTAGGGACTAATATGGATCTTTTTTGAATTTACGAGAGACCATAATTTCAATTAAATGAATCTATTTTAAATTTTTTAAGAAGGACTACAAAGAACTTTTTTATTTATTAGGAACTAAAACGGGTATAGTAATATTTGTTGATGAACAAAATGAGTATTCACTCTTATATATATTTCTAGTTCTGTCATGTTTCAACCATGTCACTCCAGTGGATATTATGGCAATGCCTTCGCCGGTTTCTTATTCTTTAAACATTACTTGAACCCCTGAAATCTGAATTGCGAATTACGAATTCTCAATCTATTTTTATTTGGATTCCGCAATGGAAGACTGTTACGGTGATACCAGAAAAAACCGCAATTTGTATATATTTGTCTGGAAATAGCAACATCGTTTTCGCCTTAGCGTCGTTACGTACGCAATCTCAGACGCTGGGTCCCATCCAGTGCGATGCAGTGGGCCTTCTCCGGGATTTCCATGTCACTGAAATAGTGCTTTCAAATTTTTAAATCACAATCTATACAAATGAAGCTTCAATTATTATTATTTTTTATTTATTATATTATATCAGAGGGTGGTGACTCGAGAATATTCTCAATGAGATCGTTGGCATAGCACATTCGAATCATTCGAACGGAATATGCCGAGATTGGCGGTTCCTTATTTTTAATTTCTTTTACTGTCGTTGTGTGATTGTGTCCGAGGAGGTTTTTCTTCCCGTTTGTTTGTGTCCAGATCTTCAATTAATAATGTCTCTGATTCATCCGTTTTGGGAAATCCATTGATGTCGTTTCTCTTTTTATTTTATTTTTTTCGAATTAAGAAAACAAGGGTTCTGATTTAGGTGTTTGTTCGAAATTCGAAATTCGAAATTCCAATTTGGTTGGAATGATTGTGCCAAGATTAGAATTAGCGTAAGAATAATAAAAGTAATAATAATATGCAAGCGGTGGGGAGGCTCGGCAGCTACATCACCCGTGGCATGTGCACGGTTTCAGGGCCATTCCTCCCTTTCGGTGGTGCCGTTGACATTGTTGTTGTTCAGCAGAAAGATGGAAGCTTCAAGTCTTCTCCTTGGTACATTAGATTTGGGAAATTGCACAAGGTTTTGAAGCAAAAGGAAAAGGAAAAGGTGGAGGTCAATATTAGTGTCGATGGAGTGGAACCTGATTTTCATATGTATTTGAATCATAAAGGGGAAGCTTTCTTTCTCCACTCACAAGCACAAGGTGAAGAAAGAGAAGAAGAAGAACAACAACAAGGGGAATCTATATTGTATTATCCATCATCTGGTGATGACACGGTTGATATCCAACCACGGGTTAGTAAGAGGCAATTCAAGTCCAAAAGTTGTAATTTTGATTCAAATTCAGATGCTCAGGTTGATAAGGTTGTGGCCAGGACTAGTTCTCGCCGCTCCCGAATTCTCGGGCTTGTAAGGTCCTTCAAAGGGGATAGTGAAGATGGTGATAATATCAACAGGGTTGATTCATTTGAGCGTGCTGAGATTGCAGCTAACTTGTTGGAGCTAAAGTGGTCTACCAATCTCACTTTTGATCAATTACCTCGTAGAGACAGAAGAAAAACTCGGGGTGGTACCTTGGACAATGGTTTACACCCTCGTACAATAAAGGAGGAAGCATGTTCTTGCAGTAAGCAAGATGGCATCAGTCCCAAGTCTGACTCTGATGAGGTTCTGTGCCTTTCAAGTGCACGATGTGGGGTCTTGCATGCTGCAACTGTATTGCTGCCTGAGGTAAATGATGCTAAATTCTTCCTGGTAAACATATTAGATCTTTTACATATCAAATGGAGTAAGTGAAGCAAGCGAAAGTGTGAAGAGTGTGTTCTGTTTTGCTTGACATTGATACATTATTGTTGTTGTTTAGGTTTCACAGACTGATGTGTATGATGTTTCGGGTGTTGGAAACCTAGCAAAGTTTCGAAAATCTCAAACTATCAATATTGGTCGAAGAGATTGTTCAGTTAAGAAGGTTAGGGCAAATACTCCAACGTCTGAACAGCTAGCATCCTTGAATCTGAAGGAAGGGAGAAACACAGTAACCTTCAGTTTCTCTACACCTATGCTAGGGAAGCAGCAGGTTAGTAATTAATAAAGTTTCTTTAGTTTTATTTTAAGTACATGAGACGTACTTCTCCTTTCCTTTTATTGAAATCTATCTTTTATTATTATTCAGGTTGATGCTCGAATATATTTGTGGAAATGGAACACTCGTATTGTGATATCAGATGTGGATGGGACAATTACAAGGTGAGGATATATCTTTGTCAAAAGTAAACTGTTTTCCAAATAGATAGTATACTCTGACGGATTCTTTTAATAGTTACTTACTTTTCCATTTTTATTTTGATCTTATCTTGCAAATAAAGATCAAGTAAGTTGGTACATACCAAAAAATGCTCCTTACTCATTCACACTGAATAAATCAATGGTTCAATCAAATATATTCTGCTTATATCAACAACCATAAGTCCGCACTATGATGTATTTCCCAAAAGCTTCTTAGCTCATGCTTTTTTCTTTCTATCAAAGAGAAAGCATATCGCATCTGAGACTTTCTTTAAGATATATGGCAGGGTTGGTTCTATTATTGTATGTAAACTTCTATTCTATTTTATGGTGCTGAACTAGTTTATGCTCCATGAATCCTGTTTCTTTTGAGCCTAGCATGGTACTTTTTTTTTTCATCTCCTATGTTCACTTGAAGAAAACGGGACATGGTTCTCCAAAGTGTGAGTTTAGTTTATAGTGCTAATGGATACCAAGATCAGGTAATATGCTTGTTCGGCTGTTTGCTGATCTGCTCAAAAAGAATAGGAATCTTATTCCATTTTTTTTCCCTTTTCATTTGGTTGCCTTTTTGTTTAGCTTCCTGTCATATGATTTTTCAGAATCGTTATGTTCTTATCATGAGGAAATATGTAAAAAAAACATGGTACAAGCATGAATACATTAAGTTGGGAGTATACCTCCAATTATTGCCATCACATTGTGCTTGTGGAAAAATGCACTTGCCTGCATATTTTTCACTATAAATAAGGTCATCAAACTTTGGCTGGAGTTGTCCTTCATGTTTGCTTATATCTATTTTTTTATCTAGTGCATAGCCTCATTCACTTATATGCCGAGTTCTTTGTTAAATAAACTTATTTTTATAAGCAAGTTAGACACGCAAAAGTTACTATCAGTTTCTCGTGAAGATAAACTTTATGAGGCCACACTCTGATGTCCTTTAAGATTTTTGATGTGGCCATGTTTGTGTATAGCAGGAAAAAAGAAAAAAAAGGGGGCCAAGAGCCCAACCCATTGCTGAAATAGTAGGAAGTGGCCAAGAGAAAGAAGTGGAAGCAGGAGGCCAATCCAATGCTGAAATAGAAGAAAAAGGCAAAGAGCAAAATGTTGGAGACTAGCTCCTACAACTCACAGACTTTGGGTTCTATAGTCATTCTTTGGTGTCTTGTAATTGTGCTGTTTCTGGTTTAAGGTCGATTAGTGACTCTGCATTATCTTTTGGAGTCTCTGAGTTATAGGAGCTAGATTCCAACATTTTGCTCTTTGCCTTTTTCTCCTATTTCAGCGTTGGATTGGGCTCCTGCTCCCACCTCTTTCTCTTGCACTTCCTCTTATTTCAGCAATGGGTTGGGCTCTTGGCACCTTTTTTCTTTTTTCTTTTTTTCTTCTATACGCAAACTTGACCAAATCAATTCTGTATGAATTTAACCTATAAATATACATTTACTGTCATTGATTTGTTTGTTAAACTGTTAATTGAGCTAGACAACCTAGATTAGGCCATTGCAGTCTAACGGCGCTCATTGGATGTGAAATTTTTACAAGCAGATAAAGAATAATCCTTGTCTTAATCCATTTTAGTGGTGATTAATGGAAAGTTGGCCAATATAATTCACCTTATACTTTCACTATTATTATCATACCTTTAAGATTAAATTCATTGTCAATTGATAATATGCTAATATGAAAAATTCATGGTTGTAGTTATATCTTGGTCAATTTTCACCTGAGAAGGTAGAGTTTTGCTGTTATAACCCTGGTCTCTTATCTTTGAGAAAAGATAGAATAAAGTTAGAGTAAAAGCAATATACTAATTACACTGAATATTTATTACTAGAAGTCAACAATACAAGAGGTTTCCCCTCTTACAAGGAGCACTCTTCTTCCCCTGGGAAAGTATTCTCAGATCTTATTCCTTACATAATTTTTCTGACTGCTTCCTAATTGAGGATATGCCCTCTTATAACAACAAATAACTGACCATAACTTCCTATAACTAACCACCCTTAGAGAAACTATTTTAATAATAAATAAATAAGGAAGGTTATAGTTACTACCTTTTTTTCTTACTACCTCTTACTACTAAATCTTAACCGTTGATTTTCGTCAATCTAACGGTTGTAATTTATTGGGTCATACTTATTAATTAATTATTAATTTTCAATAAATTACAACCGTTAGATTGGCGAAAATTAACAGTTGAGATTTGGTAGTAAGAGATAGTAAGTATAACCTCTCCCTAAATAAACTGTCTAACCATAACTTCCAATAACCAGCCACCCTTACAGAAACTATTTTAATAATTAATAATAAATAAACTGCCCAACTGTCTGATAAAATACTAGACAATTGTCAATCTGACATTTATTTAGATCTTAGTGTAGACTTTAAAAGGTTGAGGACCCTTTATTCCCATGTCCATATCATTTGCAGATTTAAGTTAGACTGGTTTTATTAGAATTCAAACTGCATGATGATAGTAAGCAAGGAAGTAAGACAAAATGATGGACTACAGATAGTAGTAAACTTGTAAAAGTTTGAATTTCCTTTCTTCCTTCATGCAATCATTTTTAACATCTAGATATATGCCATAACCAATTGGTCTCCATGTCTTTTTTTTTTTTTTTTTTTGATTCTAGAGTTTAATTATACTTTATGGTGTGATGATGCTAATTTCTTTCTTACAGATCTGATGTTCTAGGCCAGTTCATGCCTTTGGTTGGAATTGACTGGTCACAGACAGGTGTTGCTCATTTATTCTCAGATATCAAGGTTTGTTTGTCTTTTGTGTGTGGTTAGAAGATGTCTTGAGATTACACAATGCGAAAATGTTTTGTTCTGTAGTTAAATCTTGAATACAGTGATCATGCATCACTTGTCTGGGCAATGTTCTCGGACAAGTGAGCTCAAAACAAATAATTGGTTGCTTTGTCCATTAAGGCCACAAAGTTGATGACTTCTATTTTACATGTCTAGTCATTCTAACGATTAATTAATCATCTAGGGAGTTTTGGGTTGGAAACTGCCTTTTAGCCTGCTTATAATAACTGTTAGTGTAACCTCATCCACCAGCTTAAGCTTTTGGGTTGAATTGGTTCTTTACATGGTATCAGAGTCTCGGTGTCACGGGTTCGATCCTTACCGCCTCCCACTTTCTCTTGTGGAATTTTTTAGCTAGACTTTATATTGTCCACCCTTCAAGTCCAATTGGCTCTCTTACGAGGGGACATATTAGAGTATAATATAAACCATTAAAAAGGCCCTCACCCAACAGCTTAAGCTTCTGGGTTGAATTGGTTCTTTATATGGTTTCAGAGCCTCGGTATCACGGGTTCGATCATCACCGCCCCCATTTTCGCTTGTGGAATTTCTTAGCACGGGTAGGTGGGCTTGTGTATTGTCCGCCCTTCAAGCCCAATGGGCTCTTGTGTGAGAGGGCGTGTTAGAGATATATAAAACTATTAATGTAGCCTTACCCATCAGCTTAAACTTTTGAGTTGAATTGGTTCTTTATAATAACTATCTTGATTTTCTTATTTTTTATTTGTATTTTTTGTTTTGGATGTCGTTTATGGAATTTTAACTTGTCTAATTCACACTATACAGGAAAATGGCTACCAGCTACTTTTTCTCAGTGCTCGTGCTATTTCTCAGGCCTCTCACACCAGAAATTTCCTATTCAACCTTAAGCAGGTGATTCATAAATTTGGAATCAATTTTAAATCTCAAGAATGGACAATACAAGAAGACCAGAGAAAGTAGTTTACATTCTCCTATTTGTTTTGTTATAATGCAGGATGGGAAGGTTTTACCGGATGGTCCTGTTGTTATTTCCCCTGACGGACTTTTTCCTTCTCTATACCGAGAAGGTAACTAGTCGGCTTGTCTTTCATTTCTTTTTCTTCCTACTGTTCCCCTTCTTCCAATTTAAATGTAGGTTCCTGCCATATGCTGTGCATCATAATTCCCCCTACTCACATGTAGGATTAATTTTCTTATAATATTTTGGTACAAAAAGGTTAAATTAGCCCCATTCGAAGGTCACGGCATACCACAAGCCTTAACAAGGGTTTATCATAGTCTACATTAATTACATTCATTAGATTTGTTGTAGAATTGCTTGTGCTGATATTTGAACCTATATTATAGTGAGGGAGAAAGAATAGGAAACTAGAAATTAAATTTCTTTTAATATTTATGTTTTGTGTGTATGAGGGCGACCTAGTGCAATGATAAAGTAGTGTTTTTATGATGGAGCAAGGTTGCATACAAGGATTTTCTCTGCCCTAACCTCACAAGTCAGGATTTCATGGGGAGTTGTTTTTAGTTATGTTTTGGCCCTGAACAACATTAACACTTAGTTGTCTTCCTTTATTCTTTTCCTGGAAGTACTGATTAAGCCTAAATGGGCGAAAACTTGCACCGATTAGGGATTAGCCGTGTATATTTTCTTATTAGAAATCTAATTTCCCTAATATTCCACGTTGCATCTTGCCATGCGAATGAGTTCAGTGATGAAAGTTCAAGTAGTTTGACTAAAGTCGTCTGTGAAGCTTAAAATAAAAATCTGGAGTGCCATTGTTTCCAGCTTTACCTGAAATGACAGATAGCTTTTGTACTATAACCTAAGGAAGGCTATACTAGGAGTATTTAAGAATAGAAAAATGGAGAATTGAACAAGGTGAAGCCTTCCACTTTAACCTTTTATTCCCTGCTTTCTCATGTGATACTGTTGGGTTCCATTTGCAAGGTATGGGACTTGGAGTCCCACATTGGTTGTATGGACAACTAATGTGGGGTTTATAAGGCCTTGGGCACTCCCACCCTTTGAGCTAGCTTTTGGGGTGGTGCATCCCAAGGTCTCATCAAATGGTATCAGAGCATCCATCTCGTGGAGTTGTCCGTGAGGGCACGCACTAGGGAAGCGTGGTGGAATGTTGGGTTCCATTTGCAAGGTATGGGACTTGGAGTCCCACATTGGTTGTATGGGCAACTAATGTGGGGTTTATAAGGCCTTGGGCACTCCCACCCTTTGAGCTAGCTTTTGGGGTGGTGCATCCCAAGGTCTCATCAGATACACATAATGTTTTACATGAAGATACATGCAGTGCAGGCCTTCTTTGTAAAAATGATTTGTAAATAATAAATGACCAAGGAAATTTTAATTATTGGATTGGATGTTTTTATGGGACTTTTTATTAATAATATTTAAGACTTGACATTTCTTTTCTATTTCCAGTTATCCGGAGGGCTCCTCATGAATTCAAAATTGCATGTTTAGAGGTTAGGTTCCCATCGTCACATATTACATTTGACATGATTTTAATATTTTCAGCATGGTAATCATGTTATTAAAGATTAGTTGAGTTTTGATGCATCCAGGACATCAGGGCACTTTTTCCTCCTGATTGCAATCCATTCTATGCTGGTTTTGGAAATAGGGATACGGATGAAATCAGCTACCTCAAGGTTGGAATCCCGAAAGGAAAAATATTCATTATTAATCCCAGGGTAATAAGTCTTTCATATGATTTTAATGAAATGTTTTAAGTTTTCCAAACTTCCATTCTCATGTCTTAAGTTTTCAGGGAGAGATTGTTGTAAACCGCCGTTGTTTTGACACAAAAACATATACTTCTCTTCATGCTCTCGTGAATGGGATGTTCCCCCCTACATACTCCTCTGAACAGGTTTAATTCTGAAGGAACTCTCTCTCTCTCTCCTTTTTCCTAATATCAACTACTCCCCTCTCCCTCTCTCTCCTTCCAAAAATAAGTCTGATGTTAAAAGGATTTGTTTGTGATGTAACTTATTTTTTTGGCCTTGTTATTGCTGAATATTGGTTACAGGAGGATTTTAATTCATGGAATTACTGGAAGTTGCCTTCTGCTATGAATATTTGAAAGGGTCCTTTAGCATTTACTGTTCAATTATCTTGGTCTGGTGCGGATAGGTGCTGGTTGTGCTGCTCCTAGAATTATATAGGTAAAATTGATTTTCTGCTATACATAATGTGTTAAGACTCCATTATAGGATTTTAAGTTTTAGTTATTATATACTTGATATCTTTTTAGGGTTATGTTTATCTCATTTTACATGAGATAAACAACTTTTCTATACACACAAAAAGAGGTTAGGTCCCACCACTCTTTTTTCTCTCTCCTCTTACCTGTGAGTCTCACTTATACTTTTATTTGTACAACATGAGATAATTGTTTTCCTACAACATAAGAAAAATATATCCCATCTTTTTAATGGTAACTTAGTTTCTTTCTTTGATTAATCAAAATTCCGAAGTTTATTAGGGAAATCTCTTCAAACTTTTCTAAATAATCTGTTTGATATTTCTGTATGGTGTGTAGGGTGACAAATCTTGAAGATGCGATGTAAAAAAGTTAGAATTAGACCATTAGAGATGATTTTCAAGTCCTGGTGGATTGATTTGTTGGCACTTTGAATTCGATGGATGGGGGATTTATGAAAGCGTAGGATACATTTTGCCTGCAACCTGCTTCAAATTTAACTTCTTCCAGCTTGAGGCTGTGAGATCAGATATACCTTTATTATTTCCATTGTACGGTTTGTTGTAGTGATCCCATGAACATTTAAACGAGTTAGTTTACTCTATTTTCACGAGCATGACCACCAAAATCATAGAACGAGAATCCCACCAATTTAACATCATTTCTAATCATTATTAATGAGTTGCATCACTTTGTATGTAACTATTTATGTATGTAATATTGAAAGCTTCCTCTTCAGTTTCTTGATTACAACAAGTAGAAAAGCTTCTGTTCCTATAATTCATTTACTTATTCATTATATCTTTATGTTTCAATCCCTTGTGCATTCTTTAAAATTCGATCCGGTACGTGAAAACGGTTAGATAATTAGATTAACGGTAGAATATCATGGAACATAATTTTTCTTTTTTAACAGCCCGTTATGTTAGGAGTTAATGTTGTACTGATGATGAATAAATTGAAGGGTACGGGTTTAATTATGCAATTAAGGAGTGTCCTAATGTAATTAGCGCTAACTTTGGGGAAGGTCAACGTAATTTCCTCTGGAAGTTATATAATTTACAAACCAAATCGATTGCAAGACGGAAGCAAACAAGCTAATATTGTGATGAGCTGATTTTGGTGGGTACAAACACCAAATAAATAAAATATTTTTAGTGTTACGGGTATATTTTTTTTACTAAATATGATAAAAATAATAATCGATAAACCTATCTACACTTCACTTCCTTTATGTTTATTTTCTCCCATATCTTTTTGTTTTTTGGTTTTTTTTTTGGTAAGGAAGTAGGTACTTCCCTGAGACTAAAAATGTGCTCCAACCATAGAACTTACATTGGATGAGTTGGAAAAGATACGTGTCATCCAAAATCCAAAATGGGGTTTTGGTTTTAGTGATCTAAAATATTTTTATTTTTATATAAAAAAAGATATTTTAAATTGGCTAGATTCTCTATGTTCTTGTATCTTAAATTAAAAGCTTAATATATGTTTTCTAAATTTCTCCTTCTTGGATGCTAATTAAGGGAATAATCCATCTTATATTACGGATGTACAAAATAATCAAAAAACTGAATCGAACTATGAACCAAATCGAACCGCCCTTAAAATAATCAGTTCAAGAACCGAACCGATTTTTAAAGAACCAGTTCATGAACCGAACCGGTTTTTAGAACCAGTTTAAGAACCGAACCATTTTGAATTGAATTGAACCGAACCGTTTTCAAACTGAACCAAATTGATTTTTATAATTTTATTTTTTAAATTTTTAATATTTTTTCTTTTTAAAAGAGAGTCGACCAAACCGGTTCCGAACCGAATCCAACCGTTTTCAACCGAACCGAACAACTTTCGAACCGAACCAGGTTTGAACCAAATCGAACCACTTTCGAACCGAACCATTTAAACCAATTCGGTTCAATTTTTCAAAAATCCAGTTCGGTTCGACCCATGTACATCCCTGCGGAAAAGGGTATTAGAGGGAGGACACTTCTAAAAAGGCTTGAGATGGCGTGTTAGATCTCGGGCCACAATATTCAGGTCTGGGAAGAACCGGGGTTGCTAATCCTAGGAACTTTCAAGCCCAGGTCTTCAACTACTAGAATATAGCCAGAATTGAAGGTTCGAAACCTTATTGGTCCAATTAATGGAGGGTGAAGTTAAGAGTTACTTGAACCATATCATTGTCCTTTAGATGATCGAGTTTTTTTTTTTTTCCTTCTTCTTTCAGTCAAGGGTGCTATTATATATTGACATGGAATTTAGCGGGTCATACCAAGAAAAGTACATCTATTATGCCATCAACTCCAAATGATGCCTCGAATTTCAGTTGAAAAAAATTATTGAAGATTGCAAAACCAAAGAAGATTAAGATATTCTTGAGTCGTGTCTCTGACAAGACCTTCCTTACGACCCAACGTAGTTCAAAGGCGGGTTCTTCATGATTATTCTCTTCCTAGATCTGAGTTAGGAGCAAAGGTTTTCCTTTATATATATCTTGGTGGAATGCCTTCCTCTAGGCAATAGGTATATGAGTTTGTGCAGGATTATGGAAGAAGGTACAACCTATCCCATGATAAAATATGTTGGGCTGGATAATATGATTTATAGTTTCTTGTAACTTAGCAGAGACATAGGTGGTGTTTGGTTGAGAGCTTTTCAGCGGATATCTATCTTTCTCAAGTATGGCTTTTAGAAACACCATGTTTGTTTCAACGTTTTTCACCAAAAACCCATCTATCCAATTTGTCTGGATTTATGAGAAACATAGATATCTGCACTGTTTAGAAACCCAATTTGAAGGTGGGATTTTTCGAAAAACCGGTTATCTGGCTTTTAATGCACTGTTGATTTCATAAAATTACCTAATTTTCCAGTAAAGTTTTTCCCCACCAAACAACTTTTTTTTACATTTTTCTACATATCTCACTTTATCTATCTTTCCAATCATTTCTCTATCTATCTCATTTCCCTACTATTCCAAAAAAATTTCCTGAACCAAACGCCCCCTTAGTGGAATGATATGCATTCTTGTTAAGATTTGGGGCAAATCACACATTATTCTCCTTATACTTTCACACTTTTTAATTAATCTTCTCAAGTCTTATTTTCATAACTTAACACATTTTAACTTTGAATAACATTAATTTTCTTTATATTATCTATCAGTTCGTCAGTTACTTTACCACCAAGCATATAAATATAAGTTACTTTACCACCAAGCATATAAATATATTAGTACAAGATTATTTCATAGTTGTGTTAAAATTTGATAAGGAGAATTTTGCTGCCGTTCATGTGGCACTGGGAAGTTAAAAAATTTAACTTCGTAAAACTTTTACAAATATTTAAAACTTTCTAAATATACCCAGAAGTTTATCCTTTGTAGGAAATTTGGTGATAAAGAAATAAATTTTAAGGGATAGGTTAAGAAAGTGTAAAAATATAAACGTAATGTGTAAAATAAATAGTAATTCTCCTTAAAACAAAATTAAAAGTTAATGTGTTAGATCCGATAAGACAACTATACTTTGGAACGGGCCCATTGCAGGTGATCTCCTCCCTAGCAGAGGAATACGACAAAGGGAATCGTTTATTCCCTTATTTATTTGTTCTTGCAATAGAGAATCTCTTTCATATTCTTCTTGCTGTTGTCGACAGTAAGCATTGGAAACCAATTTCTGCAGGCCAAAAAGGACCTAAGATTGCTTACTTGATGTTTGCCGACGGCCTCTTGTTATTTGTTGAGGCCTCTGTTGATCAAATTAAAGTTATTGTTAAAGATATATAAAATTATTAATATAAACTCACCTATAAGCTTAACTTTTGGATTGAATTGGTTCTTTACATGGTATCAGAGCCTCGGTGTCACGGGTTCGATCCTCACCACCTCTCACTTTCTCTTGTGAAATTTCTTAGCACAAATAGGTGGACTTGTTCATTGTCCACCCTTCAAACCCAGTGGGCTCTTGTGTGATGGGGCGTGTTAAAGATATATAAAATCATTAATATAACCTCACCCATCAGCTTAAGTTTTTATTCTCTAGCCAGTAGGATGCATACACACATGACATAGACATGTGCTACATTGCATGGATATTTGCCATTATACTGTTGTTATCATTTTTGAACTTATATTGCACATGTAAGTGAGCTCGTGGTGGAGAGATCCTTGAGGACCCATTGTCTTACTGAGATTTCTTGTTAGAGATCTCACCCCGTGTGAGGTACATTTTCAGGTACAGGTACTTCTGAGGTTGAGACCTCTAGTGGCAGGAGGCTAGAGTTGAGTTGAGATGATGCATGCACCTTGTATGTTATTATAATTTCTGCTTTGCTGTTATACATTTATGGCTTTTGTACTTGAGTCATGACTTGAAGAATATGTTGCTTTATCTGGTGAGCATGGGGGTTGTCCATATCATATTGGTATAAGCTGTGTCATTTCTGATTGAGTTGTATTATTGTATCAAGACATGTCTGGTCTACGTGTTATAGTTCCATGACTTGATATATTATTTATATTATGAGGTTATTCAATTTAGTTATTTATTGCAATTTACATACTGGAGACTTTTGAAAAAGAATAAGTAAATCAACTTGGTTAATATGATAAGGTTCATAATTGAAAAAATTTAGCTTCTGTATTTCTTGAGCTGCGCTTATTACTATTTATATGTTTAATACATCGGGTACACACGGGGTGTTACATTTTATGGTATCAGAGAACTTTCTATGGAAAAATCCTGTATGTATTGCAATAACTGAAGATGTTTTGTTGTGTGATTTTGTCTTGTGAGTTTCCTTTAGGTTTTGTTGTGATAATGCATGCGTGACCACATTGTGTGGCATGATCAACTCATCCTTTGTGTAACATGTGCAAAGTTATGGCACCTCCTAGAAGAACTTGAGAGACGAGCGAGGGTCAGCCTGATCCTATCCTGACTGCATTAGTTGAGATGCAAGCGGCTAGACAAGCCGATCAGAAGGTCATTAGAGCGGCCAACCAGGCTATGTTAGATGTCGTGAGAGAGGCGAATAAAAAAGCCACTTAGGATGTGCTTGAGGCAAATCGACTGGCGAACATGACCATGATGATGGTCATGTTGGAGGAGATGAAGACTGTTCGTAATGAGGGCCACCACCTCCACCGCCACCGCCTCCACCTAATCACCAACATGGAAATGGAGAAGGAGGGGTGCCTATTCTTGATGATGACGGTCAGAGACGTATAGAGGGTATGAGTAACTTTACGGGCATGATACAATCATATGTTGAGCCCAAGGAAGACCAGGAGACAAGAGACCGTCGGCTGAATGCTTTTTGTAAGCACAAGCCACCTTCTTTTGATGGATCTTATGATTCCAATGTTGCTGCTAGATGGCTCCAGGCCCTGGACAAGATATTTAGGATGATGCAGTGTGATGATCCACAAAAGCTGATATTTGCAACCTACATGTTGGAGGGAGATGCACATGAGTGGTGGATGAACACCTCTTAGGCGTACGTGATGCAGGGTCATGTTATTACTTGGCCATTCTTTGAGGAGCTGTTCCTTGGGAGGTACTTTTCTTACAATGCTCAGGAGAGGAAGCAAGGAGAGTTTGAGCGCCTAGTGCAGGGCTCGATGACAATTGACAAATACTTGACTAAGTTCAATGAACTGGCCAAATTTGCTCATT